CGACAGATTTTCCCCCCATACAATATTTTTACTAGTAACACATACTAAATTTAATTTTTTATTTAATTTTTTTCAGTTCTTCTCTCCACAGTTTCCCGTTTTCAAAACCTCTTTTCGCCATCTGAATGCGAAATATAAAGTTATAAAGCCGTTTAAATTCATTTACTTGCATTTTCGGTTTACCTTTTTTGGGAAATGCCCATATGTATTTAGCTGTGTCGAATTTCAGGGAGTTAGTGTAAGAGGTTCCAGAGATAAGCTATATGAGAAGTTTAGCTTGTATGGAAGGTGCCACGCCCCCTTTTCCAATGCATGTGCAATATATATATCAGTGCTAATTTTCAGTTTCCCAGCGTAATTGGTTTTAGAGATATATTGGTTTTTTTACGTTTTAGTCTTTGTAAGAATTATAGGAATATCCCGAGCTATATACCGAGTAAATTTTTGGTCCGAATATTTATTTTCAAGGTGCTGGCATATGTTCCAAATATGAACCAAATCGGTGCAGCCGTTTAGTAATTTAGTGTAGTACATTGTGCAGACCCTGCAGGAAATGTATCTAACTATAAGCTAACTTTAAGTTGATTAGGAAGGCGCTAAAACTCACTTATTATCTGTATATTTTCTTTGACGAAAGCTAACTATATTTCTATGGCCGCGAAATAGTCAAGGGTGGTTTACCTCTGCATTAGATGTAGTCAAGGGTGGTTACCTCTGCATTTGATGTAACTAACTACTTTTGGACATAAAATATAAATAGAAAAAACGAAATATTTTATTTATTTTTTTATTTTTACTTACTTTAGTTGTTTTTATTACATTTCATATTTGTTTCCATATTCTGCTATAGGTGGTGGTCCCATATTCGAACTGCGTCAGACACAACTTCAAAATGATAATATGAAATTTCGATCTTCCTTTTATTTGTCATCAACTCGAAAAAGTATTTGCGAAGTGCGGGATATTTAAATAGACACGCGTTCAAAGAAAACATCTCGAGCTTTACTCCTGCATTACTTGTCCACTTCTTTCAAGTTAGCTTTTTGTAGCTAACTACAAGTTATATATTTTATAGAAATCCCGCAAAAAAGCTAACTACAAGTAGGTTATTTTTTATCAATTGATAATTTTTTTCTGCAGGGGAGAACTGCATGAAATTGTAAGGCGTGATGTCGCAGATTTTTTAATTAATTAATTTTTATGAAAAAACCTTCCACACAAAAGTGCGTTCAAGCATAAGCATGAACACACTTAATTGAATTTCAATAAAATTAAGTTTGTGGTTATATCAAGGCACAATTTTGAGAACAGTCCGTTGCTAACTCTAAATATAAACAACGATGCACTGGAAAAGTTAATACCTAGGAATAATGATCGACGATAAACTAAAACACAAAAAAAAACAAATGGATTCTATATTTTCAATTAGAGCTCTAGCAATATGTACATCGGTGAGAACTGCATTTTATTCCATACATTAGTTTTTGCGCTTAAAGACATACAGACAGACAGACCAAAATTATAAAAATTTTAGATTTGGCTTCTGTTTGTTTAGGCGCGTCTGCTAACACCAGGCGCCTAAATACACACTATGTACTGCTGCATGTGCAAAAATTCGGTTATGCAAGTTATGAAATTTTTGCACATGCACTTCTCAACTGCCATGTAATTGAACTTTCTTAAATTATTATTATTTTTTAGTTTTTAGCGGTATTGGCGCTATAAGGGATCTTCAACGGAATAATGTAAAGGTATCGAGTATCGAATAGTTTTATTCGATACTTTTTTCCAAAGTATCGAGTATCGATCGATACTTGAAAGTATCGAAAATTTGCAGCACTAGCCTGTGCCAATTGATAGAAAAGATGGAATTTCGACGGATCAAACCAAAAATTTAACATTTCTCGTGGCGAACACAAACGTCAAGATTGTGCCTAAAGCCCAATAGTTTTGCATCACACGATTAGGCTACCGTTGCACCAAATTTTATATTGCTATTATGTGTTCTAATGATGAAGCAAAGCTGACCATCAGTTTTAAGGATAGCTCTCAATTAGAGATGAGCGCGGAATATCGGGACCCACGAGACCCACGCTACTGATTTTAAAATGGCTGGGATGGGCGGTATGGGGTAGGTCTGTAAAAAATTTACGGACAGAACGGGGCCAAAATCCTTTCCCGATACTCCCGACAAAACCGCAACTACGCAAATTCAGGAAATCTTCATTAAAAAATTTGTATGAAATATCCAGTTCTTATGTTTAATTGAGACGAAAACGAACAGCAAAGCAAAACATAATTATCAGATCTTTCATACATTTTTTTATTTAAAATTAATTTGAAAGACACGTGATTTTTTTAGAGATAGATTTCGGGCGAGCCCGCGGTACAATTCTGAAACACGTCGGGATGGGCGGGTTCGGAGCTTAGAAATTGAATTTCGGGATAAGCGGGATCGGGACTTAGTATTTAGTCCTATGCCCATACACAAACTAACAATCATTCAATGTGATTTAGAAATCTGGTAGAAAATGGTTTCCAATTTTATGATTCTTGCCATTTTATATGTACATATAAAGATGTAGGTGTATCAAATTCCATTACCTTATCATAAGTGGTTCCAGATATATGCGATATGGAAATTGCATTTTGTATGCGAGGTTTCTCATCCCGTTTCAAATAAACATCACTTTTCGCCAAAAGTTCGGCAATGATAACAAATGCAGCTATGTTAAATTTCAGAACGATAACATAAGCGGTTACACAAATAAGCGAAACGAGAAGTTCACTTTGGAGGTGCCTCGTCCCCTTTTTCAATACCTACTATTTTCGTTATTGATAGCGTAAATAGCTGTGTCGAATTTCACGGCGTTAGCATAAGGGGTTCCAAAGAAAAACGATATTAGAATTTAAGTTTGCATGGGAGGTGCCACGCCCCTTTTACAAAATCTACCATTTTACGCCATAAGTACGCTACAGCTAACATATATAGTTGTGAAAAATTTAAGGAAGTTGGCGTAAGCGGTTCCAGAGAAAAGCGGTATAAGAAATTTAGTTTGTATGGGCGGTGCCACGCCCTCTTTTTCAAAATCTACAAGTTTTCACCGTAAGTAAGGTATTGACAACATATGTTGCTGTGTCCAATTTCAGGACGTTAGCATAAGTGGTTACAAAGATAAGCGATATGAGAGTTCCAGTTTGTATGGGAGGTGCCACGCCCACTTTCCCAATACCTACTATTTTTCACCGTAAGTAGGGTATTTACAGTCTATGTGTCTGTGCTAAATTTCAGTTCCCCAGCATAATTGGTTTTAGAGATATAGTGGTTTCCACATTTTATTCTATATTTTTGGATTAGAGGAAGCTATATCCTTGAAATCGGTGTTTGTTTCATTCAAATCGTGCAGACGGTGTCTTAAAAAAAGGGATTGCAAATTATTTTTATTTTTTTGGCATATTTATATATAGACATGTAGAAAATAATAGTAGATTGGTGCTTACACATATGTTAGTGTTTGGCCGAGCTTCTCTTCCGATTTCTGGCGTGCGCCTTAATATTGTCTCACAAAGTGGAGGGACCTACAGTTTTACGCGGGTTCCGAACAGCGATTGTATTTCTTATGAGAAGCTGCTTTTCATGGCAGAGATATACACTCAGAGGTTTGACAGTGCCTGTCGATGGGCGACCGCTGTTAATAAAAAACCTCTTTTCTAAATTGCGATGTTGCTTTGACCAGGGCTTCAACCCAGTGGAAGCGCGCATTGCTTACCACTGCACTACAACGGCGCCCAACGCGACATATAGTTCTATATTTTATGAAGTTTGAGTCTCTGACGTTTAGGATGAAAAACTATCCAATCGAAAATATATGCATACGATACATATATGTATTTAAACTAAAATATTTTTGAAGTAAACAAAATTGTTTCAAACGTCTATTTTTTTCAGTGCATGTGTAGTTATAAAAAGTATCAATAGCTATTTCCCATGGAATTGATGCCAATTAAAGCGCTTAAGATTGTAATAACTAAATAATTTTGATTTGTTTAGTCGAGATCCTCTAACGTTCAGAGTTCAAACCGACACAGTTGCGAAGCATTTTCAACCATGCGTAAAATTATAGGGATTAACTGTTAAAATCTCTATTTATTTCTAAACATTTCGTAGGAGCTCTGTCATTTTTGCTCGTCACCTGTATTGCGACTGTAAAGCCTATTTTGTGAAAGATATAGAGACAGCGACATCTTGGAAGAAATACGGCTGAGAGCATAGAGTTTCATTCGTGCATATGTACATGAGCATGTATCCACCGAGCTTATCAGCAAGTGAGAGTATCTTTAAATAATAAAATAGGTAAATACAACAAAAACAACATTCCAAAATTATATATACATACATATGTACATGCATACATATCTAGGCAAAGTGGAGTGCGACACAGTCATCACTCCTATTTGTTTAGTTAGTTATTTTTTTCATATTTTTCATGCTACCAACCTGCTACTCGGTAGATCAGTATTTCAGCAGCCATCAGGCAACCAAGCCAGTACAAATATAAGCCGGATACCGTAGTGAAAAGACGTTTAAAAAAAGAGCGGACTCTTCTCGTGTGTCTCCTAAACGGGCGCGTAAATACCTGTATTAAAACTCGATCGTAACGGCAGTGGACTTGTTGGTGGTAAAGCAAGTTAGCTTGTGGGTGGTGCTGACGCGCGTATGTCGAACGACAGACTCACTGTTGTTTTTGAAGCTCGATTATGCCGCAAACGGTCGTGCAAATACAAAAGCACATAAAAGTACATTTCAATTGCATTGAACACCTGTTTAAAGCTTAAGTGATATTGAACTTGAAAACGTAATTAAAAAAAAAAAAAAACAAGAAACGTTTAGCCGCTGAGATCGAAAAGTTCGCTTGTCGCTTTTCCAAAAACAAAGCCCAAGTTTTTAAGTGCACATACTTAAAAAAAAAAACATAAAATAACATAACTACACATACAATATGAGAAATATTCACTTCCATATTGTGACAAAAGTGTTGTTGCTCAGCTTTATTTTCACAACGACACAGTTATCTTCGACGTAAGTTCAGATGCAAAGCGATTGAATGTTTATAGATAAGTTTTTGTACAGTATCTGAGAAAAGCAATAAATGGCATTTTCGAAAATGCTTCTTTTCAAGATGTTTTGTGAGTTTCTTACCAAAGTTTAAATCTAAATATGTAGGTATGTATGTATGTATATCTGAAAAAGTTCGAATTTTTGGCGAATCCTTGAACGCTGTGCCCACTTATGTATGTATATTAGTTCTAAAGTTTTTTATTCCCCTTACAAAATCTGAGATTTGTCATTTAGTGCTTTTTTAGAACGCTTTTATATTTTTTCGCCTGTTTATTTTTGTGACTTCGCCATAAACGTGTCTTAACATTTGTCGATGAAACGTTCAATGACAATTTAGCTGGAAAATACATACACTAGTTGCAAAGTCATGTTCAAATTCCGCTACAAGATCGGTAATGCAATGAACAAAAATTTGTGGCACAATTTGTTTTTTTTTTGCCCGGTGCCTAAAATGTTGTTGCTGTATCTATTGGGGGAACTAATTTAACTTTTTTTGCCAGATAACCAGCTACCTGCAATAGAAACCGGTAATTTTTTTTTTGAAAATCAAAACCAAAGCAATTACATACGTATTTATGTACTTGTTGTTAGTTGCAAATTGTCACTCATACGCACTGGTGTGTACATACATATTTACATATGTACATATGTATGTACATATGTGCATTCTCCAAATGCCAGTCGATGGTTGAAGGTTGAGTTAACCTCATGCTGGTGTATATCACGTGGAATAAAATGAAAGTGCGAAAGTTATTTGTTTATTTACGGTGTATATGCAGTAATAGGCTTACATTTTAATGCCATAAAATCAGAATTTTTCGCATTTCAGTGAATTTTAAAATAGCTAACTATAGATAAAAGTGCATGCAAATTAGAGTGCTACAAAACAATAAATAAATGAAATAAAATAAAATAAAGTACAATAAAATAAAAAAATATAAATAAATATAAGAGAAAATATAATGAAAAAAATTCAAAAATACTAGATATTAAAAAATTAAGATAAAATAAAATAAATATCTACATATCGATGGCTGAGTGGAAGATCGACCTATCTCGGCAGCTAGTTCGAAAACGCTCTATCTCAAAAAACTTTTCAAGAACGCCCTACTTCAGAATTTAATTGAAAAACACCCTATCTCAAAATTCGGTTCAAAAACGCCCTATCTCACTTCAAAATGTATTGAAAATATGCTGCTATAGGGCGTTTTTGAATCGGCAGCTGAGATAGGGCGTTTTTGAAACGAATTCTGAAATAGGGCGTTCTTCAAAAGTTTTTTGAGATAGAGCGTTTTTGAACTGGCTGCCGACATAGGTCGATCTTCCACTCAGCCATCGATATGCACACACATATCGCTACCTAAATGAGAAAAGGTGCTAAGTGCACTTTTTCGCAAAATTTAATTGTATCAATTGATCAGGAAAATATTACGATCATCTAACACGCAACTGTTCAGTTGATCAGCAGTACACAACAACGCGTTCAGAAGGTGCAATCGTAACAGTTACTGAGCTGTTTCGCCTTCTGAACGTTACCATTATGAAATAATTAGAAGAGACATATAAATTAACAATATTTTAGTTCAGAAAATCCAAACTGTTAGCCCGAACACAATGAAAACGACGAGCTACAAACCACAGCTGTCAAATTATTTTAACACGTACTCTTATGTAGATAATTATTTTGGCGACGACCGGGCTACGCGACGGCTGTGGTTGTGGCCAGATTAGATCTATTTCTATTTTTCTGGCGACAGATAAGGTTCTTCCTCTTCTTTTATGTCAAACTCATACAAATTCATGATGTCGCTGCCGCGTT